CTGGCAAAACGTTAGAAAACAAAACTTCCAGAACACGGCCACACAGCCCGGAAGACCCACAGCATAGTCTGTTGGAAATTATTTAATTAACCTAGTTCACTGGATTTGCAGGGTATGGGACTATAAATTAACCCTGCTGCCTGGGTTTGCATCATGCTCCTGAGCCATAAAGTAGCCAACTGCACAGCCTGGTTCTGTTGTATAAACTCAGTCTATGACTGCTGGAAAGGCAAATAAAATTTAATAAAATTTAATAAAACAATGATGATTGTGAAGAGCAGATTGAGGTTCCCATGATTTGCACTATCACATTTGGATTGCAAATTTTTGGATATCACTAGACAGCTGCAAAGAGTAATAGTTTTCTATATTTCTTTGATGCTATGCATTGATCTTCAGCCAAGATCAATTGTTATTATTTGTGCAACCCAGGTTAGGATGTCTAATACTACATAAACTGAGGATGGTAAGGCCTGTATGCTGCAATGGCCTAATATGTGGTTCTGGAACACAGTCCCCAGTCTGTATATAGTCTTGGAAAGCCTGAGATATGAATATTCAGAGAGCTCCAGAAGTCCAAATTCTATATATGTATGTATGTATGTAAAAAGGGAAAAGTATTAGATGACTTCAGAGTAATTATATTAATTATATGTCATTTTAATGATTGATCAGTGAAAACATCCTGTGTGCTCCTGGTTTGGAGGGAGAGTTCAAAGGGTATGGTCATTAAAACAGTGCAGCCATTCCCTATTGTTGTTTCTCAACCAACAGTATTCATACAGAACACTAATTCAACCTTGGCAAATATACACCAGCTGGTCAAGTCTTCTGTCATGTTGCTGATAGATTTTCTATAATTACATACAAATATATTTCATATTTAGTATTTACACACACACACATATATTTATATTTAGTATTGAAGCATTTAGACTTTCATTAAGGATTTCTGTATCCTGTTTTCTTCAAGTTTGTAAGTTTGGCGGCCTTTTTGACTAACCTTGATAGATAAGAAGTTGTCCCCATAGAGACAAAATGAGGTGTGCATTCCAAGGATAGCTTCTTCCTCTGGAAAAGGTGTTTAGCTAATGGTCAAGGGCCGTAGGAAGGAAGTTCCTAATATGAAGTAATACTGAGGTGGGAAATGGGTGACTGAGTAAGGTGCGGTATTCTGAAGGAGACTGAATGAAGGGGAGGAGGTCAAACTGCGGCCCGCCCACCAAACAACTTACTGTCATCGCTTTTGGGTGAAGAATAACTTAATTTCACGAAACTGCCTGTTGTCTCTCTGAACCCGGCTCAGAAACGAACTAGTAAGAAACAATTCTAACATTGCAATCCCCCGTGCTGAACGTTCATACCAAGTTTGAAATCACACATCATGTGATTTTAAACATGAGCACGTGAGACGGCAACCGGGTTCACAAACTTCATTGAGCAAACCCTAAATGGGGCCCAAAGGCGTTCAGCCTTAAACCACTGCTAACAACCCATAAAAGCTGGGTTCACAGAACACAAAGCAAGACCGAAAGAATCAGGGGTGACTCAGTTTAGCGCAAAACTTGAACCTGGCCAGCAATTCCCCCTCAAAAAGGGCAGTGGGAAAACTCGGGGTACAAAACTGCGGACGACCCCAAACCGCAGCGGAAAGGGCTCGCTGTGTCTCTTTGCTACCAGCTGGCGGCCGTTGGTATCCTTGTTGCTCACAGCGCCTCACGTGACGCTGCTTCGAATCCTCTGCGTTCCAGGCTTTTGTTTCCCCACCTCAACGTTCTCATTGTCGGCTTCAGCACCCCTCCCCTCCTCTCCTCCCCTCCTCTGAACTATTTTTCTTCGGGGCGGAGACAGGACTTAGTCACGTGCTCCTGGCTTGGTGATCATATGACGAAGGGAGAGGAAAAGGCTTGGGTGCTTTTGTTGCTTAACTCCGTCTCTTCTCTTTTTTTCAGCTTCCTCCGACCTCCCTGGGAGGAAAGTGTTTCACGTAGGTAAGAACTGAACGGCGATCGCTTCTTTGTCTCGCTGTACTCCACCGGACTATTTGGAATCCCCCGCCCTCCCCTTTTCTCTGCCACTTCCAAGTCTAGTAGAAAGAGCCGGGTTAGTAGTCAGTGATTGCAAAAACTCAGAAGTCTGACAGCATCTTTTCCGACTAGCAAAAGGCGTATGCCTTCGACTAAAGTTTGTTAGTGGGGAAAAGTGCTACCGGACTGCTCTTGAATTTCTTGGAAATCTGTCATTGGCGGCACCTGCTCTCCTGTAGCTTAAGCCTGACATCCTAAGAGCGGTGCAGTGGATAAGGCTAGAAAGCCGAAGACCGGGAGTCTTGCGCCAGTGACTCTCAGCCTCAGGGAACAGGCAGTGGCAAGCTATTTCGTAGTCCAGGCAGTCGCTAGGAGTCAAGACTGATTACATGAGCCCCCAAGCTCGTTTTTAAAGTCCCCTTTCTGGGAAAGAGTTTGCTGTGGGACTGTAACCAAGGCTTCTGTTGATTCGTATTAGCTAGCACATAACCCAAATTAGTTTTGTTCATCCACGAACTCCTTAGTTGGCTGCTGTTGGTCGGCTAAGCAGTCCGTGTATCTCGAGAGGATTGTATTATCAACGTCGTGGAAACACTTATGAGCTTGTTTATGTTCAGAAGGAGAAAACTGATTAATGCCCGTTGCCTTCTTTTTCCCCAGAGAGCTTTGGGGAAGCCTTGGTTTTAACTCTACTTGAGCTGAGAGGTCTCCATTGGCATTTGTGAAGTTCTAGGCATTTTCTTCCTTTCGTCTCGCAGTGTAAACCAGCATACGAGGGTCAGCTGTGGTTCCTCCCCTTTTATTTCTTAATCACTTTAAGGGAAGAGTTCTTGCGACTCAAAGTTTGCAAGGCATTGTGTAAAATTTGAATTATCCTAACACTATTGCTTATATGCATTTTGGACTCTGTCCAGGATGCTTGATAGTGAATGTTTCTGGCTGCATTCATCCAACATGCTAAACCAACATGTGGCTTATGTATGGCATAATGCCTTGCATGAACCCAGTCAGTGTAGTAAGCTGTTTTTTTCTAGTTTAGTGCATTACATGGAAGTGTATTCAGTAAATCATAATTAAGATATGGCTTAGTTTACACTTTAGGTGTCTGTTCTGAAATAAGCCCCAGTTAGGAGCTCCAGTCCTATATAATAAGGGTAAACTGTCATTTATTTCATTTATTTTGCTGATTGGCAGCTGTCTTTCCAACATTGGCACAGGATCATGGAACAGTATTTAAAGAACTGAAGTTTACCAATGATTGGTGTATAAACTTCCCCAGAAACAAATTCTACTTACCTTCTAAAATCAGAAGTTTGGATGGGGAAGAACAGGTTGCGGGTCAACCTTGCCAAGACCGAGTAGCTATGGGTTTTGGGTCTCCCAGATCCGGGAATTGGAGGGTTTCTGCTTTTGGTTCTGGATGGGGTGGCACTACCCTGTTCAAACTTGGAATACAGTCTGGGGCTTCTTCTGGCCTCACAGCTCCTGCTCAAACTGTGGGCCAGTTGCACCCAGTCCTGGACTAGAAGGCCCTGCTCGTGCCTTGTTATCTCCTAGTTGGATTATTGCAACATGCTCTAGGTGGGGCTGCCCTTGAAAACTACATGGAAGCTTTGTTTAGCCCAAAATGCAATGGCATGGGTACTTATGAGTGGATCTCATTATGCTCAGGCTGCACTGGCTTCTATAGGCTTCCAGTTGCCATTCAAGATACTGATTATCAACTTTAAAGCCTTATATGGCATATGACTGGGTTACTTGAGGGACTGCTTTCTCCCAAGAACATCCCACATGCTCCCACAGGGAGCGCATGCTCCAGATTCCTTTTATTAAATCTGGTAATTTTATGGGACCTAGAAAGTGTGCCTTTTCTGTGGTTGCCCCTGTTCTGTGGAACACTCTACAAGCTGCAACTATGCTCACCTTTAGGAAAGCCATTAACACCTGGTGTTAGGGGCCAGTTAAGTGAGAATGCATTTTTGGTTGTACTGTTAAGTCACTTGATCACCATTTTGTATTTTATATTTTTATGTATCGTATTTATTTAAAGTTGAATGGGGGTTAATTGTTTTTTATCTTGTACATCACAAAATGTTTGAGTTGGGAGGCCTTAGAAATCTTGTTAATAAATAAATAGACTTGAAATTATTGAGTAAATTAATTTCATGTATCCCACTGAAGTCATTCAGAACTTATATCACATCTAGGTGTTCAAAATATGTTTCAGTGGGTCTTGGTTTATAGCTGCAATCCTTATTTCTGGCCCATTGTATTCATTGCATGGTGGCTTACTTCTGGGTAGATTTTCATAGAATTGTATAGCTAAACTGGATCCATATGCCCACCCCCTTTTCATACATCTTCTCTTCCTCTGGCATAGATTTTGCAAAACCATTTTTATGGCGAGCTACATTATTTCTGAGCAGCTTCCACACCCTAGCATTTTTTCCTTTCAGAATAACAGATTGTGGCTATATATTGTACTTTGCCCAAGTTTGCTGGGAAAACCAGCTCAGATCACACTTTCTACTCAGCTAGAATTAAAACATGTTAGAACTTATTATGATCTGTAAATAGTCATTGAGAGAGAGATGGCTGATGCATCTGATCTGCTGTTTACTCTGACTGGTTTCCTGCTTTTTCATGGCCCTTCAGAGGTAGCTGAATTTCATTGGTTTCTTTATTCCTGTGCTGGTTGGGAGTTCTGTGAGTTATACAGTTATGACATTCTTAGAGGAGATTGGGTTGGTGAGGGATTGCTTCACTGCTTGGACCAGGTATGATAGGATCCCAGATGATGTAAGCCACTGTCAGTGTTCTTGATATGTTCATTTGGCTTTAGGTACTGATGGACTTGCAGCTGAGGGACCCTCGAATCTTAAAGTGCAGTATGTTGCAACTGCTGCTCAGATACCCAAATGGTGTCAACTTTGGGAATTTCATTGGAGCTTTTTACCAGGTCCATCGCTATCATCCCCAGTTCTCTCGTTATGGGTATAGTTCACTCAGACACTTCCTGGATGACATGAAGGAAGCTGTGGTTATAGAAGGCAATTCATGTAACCCAGTCATGAAGCTAGCAAATGGCTTTAACCTTAATGGCTGGATGGATGAAAATGAGAAGTATGGACTGGACAGCTTTGAAAAGGAAGATCCAGTGCTGAAGGATGATGGAAGAGGAGGAGAAGGAGAAGGAGAAGGAGAAGAAGAAGAAGAAGAAACAGCAGCAGCAATAGGTAAATGCATTACCTGATGGGGAAAATGGCAG